CTCCATAAGCGCCTCCTGGAGGGTAGCTACCCTCTTGCGGACCAGGTCAAATTTGAAAGTTAACCCATCCTTTAGACCCTTAAAGAAGTTTGTATATGCAACTTTGTCAGACAGCACCTGAATCTGAATTCTCATCGGATTGAACCGCCTAACATAGGACCGGAGTCCATCCTTATCACCCTGCTAGATAGCCCCTAAGTCGAGACTTGTCTTTTTGGTAGGGATGTTCATGGAGAAGTTGGACGCAAACAGGTATGCAAGCACCTTGAAATTATTTATGCACCCGGCTGGCAGGTTGCCAAACCATCATTGGGCTATGCCCTTCAATGTAGCCGGGAACCATCTGCACCAGGAGGCGTCATCCAACCCTTATAGGTACATGAGGTTAGTGTATGCCATTAGGTGGTCTTCCGGGTTGGTGGTACCGTCGTAGGTACCGACCAACACATTTTTAACCGTGGCCGGTTGTACCGCCTCGGTTATTTCCCTGGAGAAAGCCGAACGCTGTTCCCCAAGGTGTAGCAGCCGGAGCTGCCAGTCCATAGGCTGGACCTGATATGCCGCCTAACCCCCGAAGGGAGCCGACTGCATGAATGGAGATCCATACGGGACGTATGGCTGTTAGGGCACATACGGAGCCTGCTGGATCACGTGAGGACCAATACGTGCAGACACGCCGCGTGACTGACTCCCTTGTTGCGTCTCTGAATGCTTCATTGAACCATTTTGGAAACCGTCTGGGTAGGTCGACGTGGAGGCCGACTGAGACATGGTCTGACTTATCTTCTCCTGGATGAACATCCGGGCGTCAGAGAAAGTCTTCTTTGACCCATCCGACTGTGTATGCCAGATGGCCTTCCTTTGCCCTGATTTAGGGAAACGAAGTTTTGAAAGGTCGATCAGGGGCCCATGCGTCCCCTTGGGTTTGGGGTGTGGAGTAGCCACCCAGTCTTTGATTTGCTTCTTCCCGGAGGGAGAAGGCTTCTTTGCCGATTGACCCTTGCTTGAGCCAGTTGACTTCTAGATTATTTCCTTTATTTCCCCTTTGAAACTTGTCATGAATTTCATGAGCTCGTCTCTGGTGACGGGGGCAGCACCCTCCGCCGCCTAGGGTTGACTAACAGGCTAGCCGCCTTGGTTGCTGGGACCAGCTTTGTCTTGGCCCCGTTCCCTTGTTTCCTTGGAACGGGTGCGCCTAGATCAAAATGACCCATCTGGGGCCATATAGGTTTCGACGTCGTAGTCGTCACCACTGCCACTTTCATGGTCTGTATGGACCTCAGGGTCAGCCGTAGGCCGGCTGCCCTCTGCATTCGGTATAGTGTCGGATTGCATCTCGATAGTACTCTCCCCACAGACAGCGCCAAATGTTTCGGGTGTTTTTGAAGTCCCTCGGGAGAGTTACAATACTGAGTATGCGTGCCTGACTTCTGTAACTGCAAAACCACGAAACTCCGATTGGGTGGAGTTCCGCCTCCGAAGATCAAGTTAGTATGATTCCAGATGAGTAAACGTGCGAAAAGTAGATGGGTATTTCTCTCTGATTCAGGGAGATTCCGCAATTAATATTGCTCGGGATTTGTGTGTGTATTTATGAATATCCAATAAATGAGGATGATTCCTCTATTTATAGCATATGAGAATCCGCTCCCCCCATTGGGGGTTCAATGCCACGTGGTATCCTCTGATTGGATCCCTTTGGGCTTGTATGAGGGTGACACGTGTCAGGCCCTCATAGGGCCACGAGGCAGGGGTAATTTTTACCCCAAACACTGGCCAATTGAGAAATTTGTGTTTGAAGCATTTTATTAGGAGTCATTACTTCACTAAATTTCTTATCACTAGAGGCCATGAAAGTGTTGAACATTTTAGTTTGGCTTTCCATCATTTCTTCTAAATTAGATCTATGTGGAGGTGCTTTCGCATAGTAGTTATCTTGAGGAGCTCTAGTACCTCTCACATTCGAATTGGAAGCATTTTGATTAGAAAAACCCCTATTGTTATTGTTGTTCCAATTGTTCTTATTATTAGAGTTCCCTCCTTGGTGATATTGGCCTTGATTCCTATAATTCCCTTGGTTATTATGGTTATGGTTACCATAACCACCTTGTTGGTTGTAGTTACCTTGGGGATTTTGGTCCCTTTGTTTTCTATTACCCCATGAATTTTGGTTATGGTAATTAATCATTTCCTCTTTGATTATAGGAATTTCCCCCTTGCCCTCTTTGATTAGGTGGTAGATATCTTTGATTGTCATTTCTAGGTCTATTACCATCAGACAAAGCATTGACATGTTCATTTTGAAGTTCATTACCATCCTCATATTGGGGTTGGGGTTGAGAATCATGAGTGCAAGAAGAGGTGTCATGATCATATGATCCACAATTTTCACAAAACAAGCACCCATTTGGCATGTTATTAGATGTAGAAGTAGAATGGTTCGAATGCATACCTCTCCCCTTAGATTGGGAGGGATGCTCTTTGTGTGAAGAGGAGGACTCAAGCTTTGCCTTGATTAATGTCATCTCCTTGCCAAGGCTGGCGATTTGAGATGTCAAATTATTGATGGTGTTGAGGTGATCAACGGAGTAAACCGCACTCCCTCCTTTGCTCAAAGACTCCCTCTCTCCTTCTTGGCAATCCACGTGGTGTCTCACCACATCCTCTATGATTTCAATAACTTGCTCCTCCGTTTTGTTCATAATCGGGCCACCAGCTCCCGCAACCAAACTAGTCTTCCCTTAGGGGCTCAAGCCTCCGTAGTATATTTGAAGCACTTGGTATGTGGGAATGCCATGATGAGGAAGCTCCCTTTGATATTCCTCATACCTCTCCCATGCCTCGAATATGGTTTCACAAGCTCTTTCAAAAAAACCTTGGATCAACGCCCTTGCTTCGGCTGTTTTCTTTTGAGAGTAAAATCTCCTTAAGAAAGCTGTGGTTACCTCATCCCAAGTTCTCAAAGAATTGGTTCTCACCTCCTTTTCAAGCCATTCAAGAGCCCTTCCTATTAGGGAGAAAGGAAATAGCTTTAGTCTCACAAACTCTTGAGTGACCCCATTCAACTTGATCGTGTTGCAATATTTCTCAAACTCGTTTAAGTGTGCAAGAGGGCTCTCATGCTTTGCTCCACTAAACTGTATTTTCTCAATCAAATTTATCATTGCGGGTCGAATCTCGAAATCATTTGTCGGGGTGTTTGGGGGAGCAATTCCACTTGAAGCTCTATAAGCTCTTAGATTTCCCAACTCCTTCAAAGGTCTTTGAGGTGGTGGTTGTGGATCACCCATATGGTCTTGTTGTTCCTCAAAGTTAAACTCTCTAGTTGGGGGAGTAGTTAACGACCTAGAGCCGGATCTCCTTCTCCTTCTAAAAGTTTGTTGAATCTGAGGATCGTAAGGTTCCAAAATTCTGTTATGGGTTATGCGCATACATACTCAACAATTGCAATTAGTAACAAGGCTACAAGTGTAGTAAAAAAGAAACACACTCTTTTTTTGTATTTTTCCTTTAATGGTGAACTATCAACATTAAGTTGAGAAGGGAGACTTTCTCCCTTACCTCAATTATCCCAACCATCCATTCAACAAGGGTCGGTTCCGGGTTGGTCTAATGGCCAACCCACCTACCCTTTCTGGCAAGGCCCGCGTAGCTCGATTGGGGAGCTTCGCTCCTATCCCCCTTATGTCTACACACAATCCGGGGGTAGTGATTATAGGGGTGACCCTACCTATTACTATGTCCCCAAGGTTGGTAGTGACAGTTCATCTACGGAGGTACTTGATCCCTCCCTAAGGGGGCATTACGTGTTTCCACCCGATTATGATGGTGGTTGGGGAGAGCAAGGTGTGCCGAATTTTGGCCACTAGCGTACTTGTCCCAACTACGATCTACCTCCTTATGTAGATGCCTCGGCTGCTCCTAGTGATGTAGATATTAACTACAACTTTCATTATTCACCGGGGCGCCTGCAAGATTAGATGATCTAGACAAGTTACTTACCGTTTCATTGCCCCTTTTGACCCTTGGGACACCGAGGACGGTGCTAATTCCAAGCTTGGGGGAGTTTTTGTCATTGCCTATTTTCTTTCATTGAAACGGTAATTAAATGTCTAGCTTGGGGGAACATTTAGGCCTTGTATAGAGTTGGGATTCAGTGTTGTTAGTTTTGTGCTTAATTTGATTATGCTCCGCTTATCTTGGTTGGTTAATTAGTGGTTGAATGTTTGCATTTTAATGAACTTTGCTTGGTTTATGTGCTTCCCATTGATGATGATGTTTGTTGATGAGCCTCCTCTCTTTCCCCTAAAAATCCAAAACCCTAACATCCAAATCCTTTTCTATATCCTCTTTTCTTTTCCCTAACATCCAAAATTTCTTTCTTTCTTCAAATCTTCTTCCAATAATATCCAGATCCCTAATATCCAAATTCTTTGTCTAGTTTTCTTATCCCCCATTCTTTCACCTATTTAAAAAAAAAAAAAAAACAGTTGCCTATAGCCATTGTTTGGTTTGCGATGATGATATTGGATTGTATGTGGTAGATACTTGCTTTCTTTTTGCAATAAAATTTCGAGCATGGTTTAGATGCCCTTGGTTGAACATAGAATTTACTAGTTTAGGCTAGTGTGAGAATAACCTTACCGAATGTACGAGATTTAAAGTCTAGGTTTGTGGTAAGATGGTGTCGCCTGTCTCAAAGGAATTTGAACCCCTAAAGGTAGAATTTGATCCCACATGTGTCCTAGAAAGTGAGGTTTTATGTTTTCAAGCCATCAACACTTTGAATTAGTGGCAAGGATCCTCCTTAAGTTAGTACCTAGATCAAGAACTTGAGCTCCAACTCCTAAGATCGCGGCTTAAACTACCCTTATTATTAATGAAGGTTGTTTCATAATGTCTATGCGAATAGTGCAAGTTAAGGAAACCGGATTTAGTTTTATTAAGTGTATTTTCCTTGTTCATTGTAAATATTAGTTGGTTTTGTATATAAAGTTTTCAATAAAAAAAAAAGAAAATAAAAGGGTGATGTGATAAATAGTCACCACCTTAGCAAATAAACAAGCTTGGGGGTGCATTTTTTCTTACACTAGTAGAAAAAATGAAATAGGCACCGCACTTTTTGCACCGGTTCTTGAAAATCGGTGGGAAAAGAAATCGGCAGGATTGGAAAAAAGACTTTTCCCACCGGTTCTAACCAAACCGGTGGAAAAAGTATGTTTTTCGCACCGGTTCTAACAAAACCGGTGGGAAAAGTGAGTGATTCGGACCGGTTCATTTCAAACCGGTGGGAAAACTGTTATTAAAAAAAAAAAAAAACCTCTTATATTCTTCTTTCTTTCTCTTTCAATTCCTCGATCTTTCCTCCTCTCTCGTCTGAGCTACCTCTCTCTCCTCTCCCTCTCCTCCATTAAAACGAATCTCTTTGTACTCATTCCTCTCTCTCTGTACTCCTTCATATCTTTCTCCCTGTACTCCTTCCTCTCTCCGTCCTCCATTTAAGCGTTTCTCGCTGTACTCCTTCCTCTCTCTCTCCTCCATTTAAGCGTACTCGAAATTCTCCATTGAAAGGGCTTCTGAGCTTTCTCTCCTTCATTGAAGCAGTCTCTAAGGTTAGATGCTTCTTTTTCTTTAATCATCTAATATTAATTTGACAATCTAGTGTTAATCGTGTATTTAATTGTTAGTATATACTCAATTTAGGGTTATTCGAAGTTGGATAATTGAACTATTGGTTATAGAAAGTCGAAGAATTTAACGTAATATTGTTAGTATATACTCAATATTTTATATACTCAATTTAGGGTTATTCGAAGTTCTTTTGTTGCCCTAATCGTCAGGTTTATGAGTTTATTTCTAATTAGGGATTTTGATTTTGTGAGTTTATCTTCTTTTATATAATTTATTTACATTCAATCAATTATGAAAATATTCCATTATTTAATTTTTGTGGGCATTTGATTGTTAAAGTTATATGTTCTTGTAAATTGTTCAATAATTATTTTCTGTATTTGAAATACACAACAATGATTTATACAGTTCATATGTTTTGGGTTTTTTTTATTTTTTTTATTTTTTTATTTGAGGGGAATGGTACAATTTAAACGGTCATGATAGATTAAGGTGCATGAAGATACTAAGTACTGATTAAATCTTCCTTTAATAAACTAATTGGAACAAAAATTCTAAATATGACCCAAATTATTACATTTTTCTGTAATTTTTCTGTCTAAAAGGGTCATGATAGACAAATTATTACATTTTAGCTTGACTTTAGCTTTAGCTAGCTCATTATGTGATTGTTTGTATTGCTTATATATGTAGGAATGAATCTCAGATGCATTGCTGTCTTTGATTTGGTTAGTCGGCGTAGGATCAAATTTATGAAATTGCCGAATGCCTATTTTGGGGAACCTGATTGTCCTGATATTGTTTGTTCTGCTTTTAGTTTGTGTCGTATGAAGGAACACTTGTGTGCTTGGGCTTATTATAATGGTGGATATGTAGTTGATATGTGGATGTTGAAAGAATATGATGTGTGGGAATCATGGACCAAGTTGTTTTGTGGTGATATGAGATGTGAATATTGGAATTTTTTTGGACTTACCAAGGCCAGAGAGGTTATGATGTTCCATTTTAATTGGCTAGTACTTACTGACTTCAGCCGAGTTCCACTTGAATCGAGTTCTGTTTGTTTTGGACACCAAGTGACACCTTTGAATCATGTTCAAAGCCTTGTATCACCTCATACAGTTTTTCTGTACGGTGAACAGAATGGATGACATACATTAGGAGAATTAGTTGCTCGTGTGTACACTGTGTGAATTAGTTTCTCGTGTTGGTTCATACATTGTGAAAATTTGTTGCTTATGTTGGTATATACATTGTGAAAATTAGTTGCTTGCATTGAGTCGTCGAGACAAACATTGTAAAAAATAAGTTGTTTGTGTTGATACTTATGTTGTAAAAATTAGTTGCTTGTGTTGATAAATACATTTGTTATTGTTGTTATCCCATTGTAAACCTTATCAGAAATGATAATGCAAATCTGCAAATAAGACTAAGCAACTTGTCTCAAATTATAAGACAATTTACCTGAATATTGCTATCATGAGTTGCAATGAATATGAGTTGTTTTCTTGGTTTGATTTATATCATGTGTTTCTCCTATCTGTTTTACTGGAGATATGATCATAAAATGGTTCAACTAGCACTTGCTAATTTGCTGTTATAGAAAAACTAGAGAATGTTTAGCAAAATCGAGTTTTGAGTATTAGAAGTTACAAGCAAATTAACTGAATTTTGAGTTATTCACAGAATACGATGTTAGTTATAACAAAGGATTTTGTAAGACCATTATGATAAATTCAGAGATCAGTCTCAATGAACAACATTGAACTGTAGTGTGTGCCATTTTTGCTATATTTAGAACAAGGAACATAGATATTTCACAGAGTATCTGTTTGTGCTCAGCAACAGAACTTGATGAATGATGAGGCAGTGATCATTGTGCTCTATTTCTCTTATGCAAGGCCAAGTCGTATGTTTATATAGTGCGTCATCCTTATATAAAATTATATAGGCTTATCATGACTGACTAATTGCATGAATAGAAAATCTCTTTGATATGATGAACTTTATTGCAAATGGCCTTACATTATCTTGTGACTGCCGTGACTGGATATATTTAGCAGCCTAATTTTCATGACAAAAATACATAGTTCCCCAACCATGTTCTGCAGTGGTCCAAACAATCAGATCTAAAAGGCAGCATTTTATTATATTTCAGATGAGTATGTTATATGTAATGGGTGTAAGAGCTCATATACCATATTGTCGAAGGAAAATCGACTCTTCTTCCTCAGATGTGAACAGGTTAGTCTTACATTGAAATTTGTTGCTTTCCTTTTGGTGTACTTGTTAAGTTTTGACTTGGTCTATTGATATTCTTGTCTTTATGCACGAGCAACTTATGTTTTTCTTAAGTGCTTTTTTGTTAAAGTTGTGTGAAAGGCCTATGATGACTAGTGGTATTTATGAGCTCTTGTCAATATGTGCCTATGAAAAAACTATTATCCGAGTTCTGAGGCCTCATCCCAGCTTTTGTGTTTTCTTGAAACCTTGCCGTGGGCGTAGGTCCAGCTTTTGATGGTAAACGTTCTGAAGAATCTGACAAAATTATTGAAGAATAGCAATAGCAGTAGTGAAATTATACAGAGGTAATTTCTCTCAACTTGGTATATAGGATGTGTTGTAAATTGTAGACAATGAAAGGCTATAAGGACTATTTTAGGGTAGCTTGCCCATAGTAACACTATTTAGTGTAGGATGACAATGTAATTTGTTCCTGATTTTAATGCTTGCTGTTTTGTTTTTGTACTATTGGCTTTCTATTTAATTGTGAAATTGTTGTGTTGCTCTTTTCTCTTTGGTTATATATAGAGTGGTTTGGTTTTGGAGAGTCTTATTGTCTTCTCTTCATTTTCTTTTGCCTATAAGTATATGGTGTTTCAGAGGCAACTTTTTTTTTTTAATTATACAGTGTACTTTAACAAATGAACCTTGATTACTGAACCTATATTAAGCTAAATCTGCTAATTCTGGACACCAAAAACTGAACAGATTTCAAACTACCCTACTATGATGCTAGACTTTATAATCATATTGGATTGTACAGTGATACTCAGAATGATGCTTGCTAATGATAATTTAGTTTGAAAAATTCAGACTTTACTATTTGTTGGTTAAAATGGTTTTTGTTTGGTGCATTTTATATGATTTGGCTACTCAAATTACAAATTAGGTTTGTTGTTGTTTAATTTGTATAGTATGGCATTGAATAGGAAAGATCTAATTTGAGTACTGTGTTATCAGGGGGTTCGTTTTATTAAGCTTTTGTGATGATTTGTTCCCTTGGTTGTTTTTCCGGTTTGGTTTGCTTAGATTCTTTTATTTTTCTGAGACATTAAACTATCCATTTAAATTTAAGAGGAAACAGTTCCCTATTAAGCTTATTTTTGCCATGACTATAAATAATGCTGAAGGCCAATCTCTATCCCAGGTTGCCCTATATTTAAACACCCCTTGTTTTTCACATGGACGGCTTTATGTTGGTCTATGATCAGAGTTGGCTGCAGGTATGCTTAATAATTTACCTTTTCTTACAGTTCCTACCCTTTTCCCTCTCCCTTCTACTATTAAAAAAGTTGTTTTCTTCAGCCTTAGTTTTCTATATATAACTATATACATTCTCTTTTTGAACACTATACAAATGCTCTCAACTTCAATTCTAGATTGAAGAACCCTCTAATTTTGTAAGCCTTGCTAGCTATTTCTTTGCAATGATTACCCTGATAATATAAAGAGGTCCAATTACTGATGTCATCTATTAAAAGCTAATCTTAGATGTATTTTAAAAAAGATATGTTGCCACTAACACATGCTTTCTTTCCTTCTTACAGAAATAGAGAAAATCGATTTATAAATGATGGATTTAGGAGGGAGTTAGCAGGATTGACGATATAGTGACTTAAAATGCAAAACACGTGGCTTATAGGTGCTGTAATACAGAAGTTCATAGGTGAACTTTTAATCAAGTAGACAGATTATTATTCATTCAGATTGGACCATCAAATCACATGTTCTTACAAAGCAAGGAGTTCTAACATGGATTTACAAAGCAAAGCAATGCAAGCAGTAGCAGAATAACAATAGCAGAACAGCAAGCAGAACACAAAGTAGCAGAAGCAGAACAATAGTAGCAGAAGCAGTAGCAGAACAGCAGTAGCAGTAGCAGAAGCAGAACAGCAGTAGTTATGATATCCTGGCTGTGATAGTTCTTGGAGTTATCGGAGGTGTTCAGGGCAGCTTTTATAATTATCTTGTTGACATGCACTATCGTTCACAACGTTGTAGCACCAGGCCCAGCAAAACAGCTATATGTTTTTTTTTTCAGTTTTTAATGTGTAATATTACAAGTTATTGAACAAAATATATGTGTTTTATGTATATTAGTATTATATATAAGTATTTGGTACAATTTAAGTGAAAAAAATGAAAAAAAAAATTTATTTTTTTGAAGCATTTTTGGCACCGGTTTTGGCAAAGAACCGGTGCTAAAAGTTTTTTAAAAAAATATTTTTGGGGACTTTTGGCACCGGTTCAATGTGTTAACCGATGGGAAATCTCATGGTTTTGCCACCGGTTCACTCCAAAACCGGTGGGAAAAGTCTTCCAGGCATTTGCTAAATCGGATGTTTTTGCCACCGGTTCACTCCAAAACCGGTGGGAAAAGTGGTTTTTGCCACCGGTTTTGAACCGGTGGGAAATCTTTTGGGATTTAGCACCCCCCAAATCAAAACCGGTTCAAAACCAGTGGGGAATGTGTGGTTTGAACCGGTGGGGATTGGGGTTTTTCGCCTAGTGTTAGAGTATGATCATAGTTGTATTTGAAGATCAAGTTAGAGCCTTACTTAGGGTTGTACTTTATGGTTTACATTTTAGCTTGGAATCAAATACAAGCTCTTTTAGTTTTCTTCTATGCCTTAACTTGGTGTCGAGATCCTCATATTTTTGTGTATTGATAGAAAGAGTAGTTGAAGCCATCGTCGGTGGAGGGAGTTGGTTCACAAGCCTATGAAAAGGGTACTTTTTCATTAAGATGTCGAGCATTTTAAAACCCGCTATTGTTATGTTTTTCCGGCTCCTTCGAGGAGTCATGAGACACTACCATTAGGGGGGATTTGAACTTTGTGATGGGGACGCGGTAATATTTGTTGAATAGGCTTAAGTTGAGTATTTTCGGGAAGGTTAGCTAGGCCTTGGTTAGTCATGATTGTGGTAGATCTTAGGCATATACCTCATGCTCAAGTTTTATTGCTTAAGGATTCTTTTATCTATGCATGTGCTTTTCTTTGTGCAAACTAATCAATGGGGTTGTTTTATGTTAGGTGAATTGCTTGAGGACAAGAAATTGGCTAGCTTGGGGGGATTTGATAAGTGGTTTATTTGACCACTGATTGTGGTGATTTTAACCCGGTTTTGTAATCTTTTCCCCTTTTTCTACCCCCCCCCCCCTTTTTTGTATATAAATGTTTTATTTTGGCTTTGCCACCTCTTTGTATGTGTTTTTCCATGATTGCAGGTATAAGACTAGCTTTGACAAGCAAACAAAGCTCGTGGAAGAACCTAGAGCAAACAATCAATGAAGGGAGAGGCCGCTCCTGGAGGAGCGGACGTGCACCTCCTCTGGAGCAGGCGCTCCTGCAAAGTTAATATAATTCTACCATGTTTCTGATCCTGTGAGGAGCGAGCGTGCACCCGAGCCAGAGCAGGCGCTCCTAGCTGTTCTGCTAGAATCTGCCTCAACGAGGAGTGGGCACGCATCCTGCGAGGAGCGGGCGCTCCTCCCTGGAATTTTGAATCTGCCAATCTTTTGAAGAACAGGGGAGCAGGCGTGCAAGATTATGGAGCGGGCGCTCCTACTTCTGGAGCGCGCGCTCCTGACTGGGAATCCGGGTTACTTTTGACGGATTTCCCTAAGCTATGTAATTCGGGGAGTATAAATACTACCCCTTCAGTTCATTTTTAGGAGGGCAAGCAGTGTAATAGTTTTTAGCAAACTTCCTCTTAGTTAGCACCTTAGTGCATTAAATCAGTTGATGATTTAGTTTGGAAACTCTCAAATCTAATCATTGCAGAAGCAAACTTCAAGGTTCATTCTCAGATTTTCAACATTTGAATCTTCAATAGTAACTTCTTTCACTAGTCTCTACTTATTTTCTGATTTTATTTTGTTATTGCAAGTCACTTGAATCTCTCTTAATCTTGATAAATTGTTGTTACAATTTAGTTTTATCCATAGTGAATCACTTTTCCCCTAATTATTAAACTACATAGAATCCCAACTTGGATCTTTGCATGTTACTCACAATGAATTGTGAGTAGTCCTCCTTGTTTACTCACAATGAATTGTGAGTAGTCCTCCTTGTTAGGGTTTGGTGAAACTCAACCTAATTGTTAATTAAGTAAACTTGGAGGAAGTATTGATGTTTGATTTGTGATTAAATTGATTGTATGAGATTGTTTGTTAGTTCTTCATGATAGGAGTAGCTACCCTTGAATTTGGAGCTTGATAACATGTTATGCTTAGTTTGACATGGAATGTAGATTAAGTACGTCATTACTTATTGCAATTTGATTATGTATCTCCTATTGTTAAACTAATAAGGGATCTAAGTTTAGGAGTGTGAGTTGTTTTCCTAATTGCATGAGGTTGGTCTGATTCATAGTCCTTGCTATCTCTTGTCTCTTTTACTCACAATATGCCTAATTGCCATGGTTGAGTGGATCCCATTCCTTAGTGCTTTTAATTACTTGGTTTAGAGCGATAGTTTGTTTGTCTACTTGACGAACCCCCAATCTACAAAAGTCTTCGAACTAGCTTGCGTGTTAAGATCTTTAGCGATTATATCCCGTTTCTTGTGGACAGAACTCTTACTTATCATTGTGCTTAGTTTGTGAGATGTTTTCATATAAATGTGGTTGAATGAGTGTGGAATGTGCGACCGTTCAAACGCCCATCAAAATGTGGCGACTACAGCGGGAGATTTTTAGACGCGTGGAAATTAGGTCATTGACTAACCTCCTAACAGTCAAATAAATTTATAAATGCTAAAACTAACCCCTAAACAAGTCTAGTGGTAAGTTCGGAGTCGAACCACAAGAAACGGTAATGCTAGATTGTTCTTGATCTAATGCTTAAGCTACGCTGAAGTCGGTTTATGGATAAAGGACACTATAACTACACTAAAACACATATAAAGAACAAGGTATGATAAAGTCTACTAAGGGAAAAGATCCATTTTGAACAAATAATAAGCTAATGAGAATCCATTTGATAATCATTCATGCAAAGAAGGAATTAAAATGAGAATTAACTACACTCAAAAGTAATCTCTCAAATTACTAGCCTAGATCCCTCATTGACTAGGTGCATAAAAGAAATTTACCCAAAATGCAATCAAATATATCAATTCTAATTCATAATCCCTTGTCAAACTAGAACCAATATGCAATTAAGTTTGCTATCATGGGAGATCAATCCAATCCAAATAAACAACTTGCCATCATCAATTCTATTAATTTAATCACACAAATATCATCATTTATCTCAAATAACTCAATTAATCATTACAAAGCTTCACTCAACACCTAGTAAAAGCGAATCTACTCAAACATGATGAAAGCAATTAAATAAAGCATAAAGAGAAAAGAGATTAAGAAATGCTCATTGATATTAAATGGAGATCTTTAAATCATCAAATTCCTCCTTTGATCATCCAAAACCATGAAAACCATTGTGTTTCTCACTTTCTCTCTCCAAAATTTGAGAGTTTCTCTCTCTAAAAACCTAAAATTAACCTAAAAAAAACTACTAAAAAAATGAATTCCTACTCTAAAATGAGCAAAAAATCTATTTATACCCCTTACTAAATTGCTTAGGAAACTCCGCAAAAAGTCGAGAAGCACGTATAGTAGCGGGCGCTCCAACATTAGTGCATGGGCGCTCCTAACTGGAACAGTGAAAAGCAGAATTGTTCCGGAAAGTTTGGAGCGAGCGCTCCTCTTAGATTGCGTGCCCGCTCCTTTGCGTTGGACAAAACTGCCCAGCTTCAAACGAACATAACTCCCTCAGCTCATTTTACATCAGAATTGAGCATATGACCTGTCGTTGGAAAGATCTTGAGATAAGCTTTCATCTCTATTTGGAATCACTCAAATATGTTTTGTAGATAAAAAGATATAGGCATTTGAATTTTGATCTTTGCAAATCAAGGGCACATTTCTTCATTACTTGTTCTTTTATGTTTTATATTTCTTCAATCTTGAGCAATGAACTTATCCAAGTGTTCCTAAACATAAGAATGAACCAATAATGTTTAATATAATGCAAGAAGCAACCAAAAATATGCAAGAAAAGCCAAAATTGATCAACAATGACATTTCACATGCAAACACGACAAATGAAATAAAACCTTATTATAACCAAGTAAAAAGATATCAAAACAATGAAAAACTAACTAGAAACTCCTAAAAAATAGTGACATAAATGACACTTACAAAATTCCCGCAAGCTTAACTTTTGCTCGTCCTCGAGCAAAACAAAACAAACACAAGGGAAAACGATATATTTTATTTTAACAAATAAAACTAGAAGAGAAAGAATATACACTAACTCACTTTCGTAGGAATCATGAATACATTTAGCGTATGCATCAAGCACTTTAAACCCCTTAGATCGCTCTAGAGTACGAGTATGCTCTCGTAAGGGTATCCTAAGAGTTTAACCTATAACTCTTGACAAAAATCAAGGCAAAGCAATAAATAAATAAAATAAATTGAAGTAAAAGAGACAAACGTTCTTGAGTGGACTTTTATGATGGAATATGCACTAAAGAATGTCAATCTTTCTAAAAAAAAATAAAGGTATGCACGTCCTAAGATGTCCAAGGTTGATTGAAACATAACATATGCTAAGCATAGAGAACTAACGGAAACACTTTCCACCTTTTGTTCCAACCAATCAAACCACGTCCTCTCTACAAGTTTCAAATCCACTTTCAAGTTAGATTCTCATGATTCCACGAAGGAACTAGAAAATAAGTAAGAAATTCAAAACATGAGAAGGTTACCCAACATGTTGGCTATGCAAACTCGCTCTATAGGCTTGATTCCTATTTCCCACCACCATTAAATGACTTAACCGTCTAGGATCAAAAGGACTTTCAAGGTTGTAATATATAGGCTAGGAAAGTAAAGGTGTGGAAAACTTTTGAAATTGGTGGTAAACCTACATGTGAAGCCCGAGTGAAACTTTTTCCATAAGATCCAAACAAATCCAAAACAAAAGTACCAACTATGCTCATAAAATAAATTTCCCCCAGGCTTATTTAACATAAAAATAACAAAAATAGGGAAA